ATTCAGCCAGCTCTTCGCCTCGGCAAAAAATTACAGAGCGTACGTCGCCGCGGCAAAACTTATTCTTCGCCCTGATGAAGTCTGCACTTTGATAACTTCGCCAATCCTTCCCAAATTTAGGGCAATCAAGCAATATTCACAACATACAAGCTTAACCAAGGACAAACAATCAACATTAAAGGCCAATAAGCATATATAAATGACATACCTCAAAGTGGGGTTATTAAAACTTACCCAACGTAATCCAATTTTATGTCCCATGTTGCCCCTAAACAGTTGAACATTTGGTCCAAGTTAGCCTTATATTTGTTAAGATTTACAAAACACCCAATTCACTCATGCAGACCTTTTTGTCCTCACTTTTTAAATTCTTCGGATGACATTGCCCTTATTATTTCATTATTTACAGAAATGCCATTGTACCAAGAATTGGCCACCACCGCTAGTCACCGTTGACCGCCGTCGAAGGTTGCCGAAAGTCGCCATAATAGCTTAAGACCGACCGTGGGCCGATGAGGTCTTTTTCGGCCATGGATCACATCTGTGGCACTGTCAGCGATCGCCGACAGTGGCTTGGGGTGGGTAGGGGTATTTTTGTTAAGTTTAAAACGTTTTTGGTTACTAGGGTGTTTTTGCTAAATCTGAAAAATAGCGGGTTAAAAAAAATTATTCAAAAAATAATAATAAAAAATATTATTTTATTAATATTTAAAAATAAGGGTAATTTAATAATCTACATAACATACCCACTCATTTATCCTCCTAACCAAACAACTTATTTACTAATTTATTCAAACCAACTAAACATATTTTCTAAACATTCCTAGTAATCTTTAAGGTGATCTTTAATTCCGTCCCAATAATAAAATATTATATGATTCAAATACCCCAATGTTTTTGTCTCCTTTTGTCTTGTTCTTTAGTATATTTTTATACCTTCTCTTTTTCTTTTTTTTTTTTTTTTTTTTTGAAAAACGAGGCAGGCTCGCTGATTGTTTTTCTTGTGAAACCTTTGTCATTTGGTTCAATCTTGAACTGAACCTTCCTCTTTTGTCTAACATTCTCCATTGAGCGTGACAAAATTTTGAAGTTTCTAGTTAACAGCAAATCATTTGAATCTTGTTTCGTATAAATATTTGGAATAAAGTTTTTAAAGATGGAATAATTATTTAATGAATTTTATTATAACGGTTTTAATGTTTGAGGGTACATGTTAAAACTACTTAAAAAACGACATATTTGATTATTTGAATACATTCTATTTGTAAAAGACAACAAAATAATTTTTGTTACATTGAGGTATATATATATTTCAGTAATTTCAACGTAAAATTTTAAGACACGTGAAGACAATACGAGTTTATTAACTTTTATCAATCTTTGAAACCATTGTTTGATCATATAAAAAAAAAAAAAAAAAAGGAAGAAAAACTCGAGATTTAACAATTCATAAAAATAGTTATATATAAATTATAAAATCATTGGTGAAATATTTTTAAAAATTTTACAACAAGGTGATAAATTGGCTTTAATAGAAACTTGAGATTCCTTTAGGAAAACACCTTGTAGCAATCAATTATACATTTAAGGAAACTATGTAATTTTAAGTTTATGTATTCTGATTTGATATTTATTAAACATTCTAAACTTTATTATAGTATTCACATTTCAATTTGGTATGTATATATAAAACGTAATTTTTTAATTAGGATGCTCCAATATATTAAGTTTATTATAATATATATATGAAAATTCTCCAATGTGAATTTCTAAAAATTTTTAACGTGCAAATCAAATGTGAGTATCTAATTGCTCACATTTGATTGCAGAGTTTGTAAAGTGAGCGATTAGACGTTTACCTTTTTTCTTTTTTTCTTTTTTATTAATCAGCTTACGTATATCTTATCTAATTTTTCAAAGTCCTAAAATAAACGATGAATAAATCTCCTTAATGATCACCTCTATTAATGTATGAGGATACTTGAACTCAAAAACTTATGTTGAATCTACTTGCTATTTTACCATTAGACCACTTATTGGTGGCTCATGCGCTTACCTTTGGTGTAGTAAGGTTGATGGGCCTATAAAATTTGTCTCACTCAAAATGGTTATAGTGAGAGAAGAGAATTATTATTACGTTGTTGTTATAATCAATGTTCTAAAAACCGGACCGGACAATGACCCGTTCAAGGGTTCGGTTTGACCGGTTGGATCGATCGGTTGGACCGTGATTTGTAAAATTATTTTTAATCCCTAAAGGTTTAAAATTCATAAAAAACACCCCTATAATACTCCCTTAAGGTTTGAAATCTATCTAAAATAACCCTGTCATGCGAAGATTCTGGTGAGTGGTGACGGCAGCGACGATCGACGGCCAATCGAAGCTGGAATCTTGGGGCTTTTGATGTGTAGGTGCTGGCGACTCTGATGATGGTGCCAAGGAGTTCCATCGGCGCCGGAAATCGCCGGAATCAACAAAAGAACTCTGACGGTCGCATGAAGTTTAGGTGGACGGCGAGCGACAATGGCTGGACGACGGCCACTGAAAATGGCAGGGTTTTGTAGTGGAGATGCCGTCAAGTCTAATGGCGGTGATTTCTCCCTCGATCGGTGCCGGAATCCGGCGGGATTCAATCGCTATTGGACCGCGATTCGGCACTATTCTGACGATCCAACCGTGGTCCAATCCGGTTTAAATGCAATTAACGGTTTTTTACGTATTTCGGACCGGAAATACCGCCGGTCACCGGTCGAACCGGTCCGATCGGACGGTCCGGTCCGGTTTTCAGAACCTTGGTTATAATTGTGAGAGCCGGTTTGGAACCAGTTTTCCCCTTTAATATTTGTGGACCTTCAACAATACCCATTAGTTATTACTTCCAAAGTCCATACCCATTTTGGTAACTCCATTTATCATTACATTTTTTACTTTTAATGTTGTAAACATGATGCTGTATTTAATTACTATTATATTTTACTTTAATAAAGAAACTATTCCTATCAATCTCTTTCTCTTGGTCACCTAATCAATATATTTCATAAAAATATTATTATTATTTTTTAAGAAGATAATAAAACCTTTAACTCGGGAATTGTTATGCACACCTGATAATTATTTCACATGATTTACAATTGCAACTTGCCTTGTCTCAAAATTAAGGGTGTGATTTTTATGAATTTCTTCACTATGAATCTTACTTTGATAATATTGAAAATGAATGAAAAATATAAAAAAATATTAATATTATAAAACTTAAAAATAATACGAAATATGAAATTTATCATTTATATAATTGATAAAACTTTTTGAAATTATCGTTTATCTTAAAGAGTTTTGTTTATACATGCCGGATCCAGAGACATGATAGATGAGTTCATAGTGGTATTATCAGTTTTGGGTTCGTAAGGTTTTGTCCAGAAAATGGACCTCTAGTCTCTAGATCATGAGTATGTTTTTGTGCTATATAAGCAGCCACTCTTCTAGCACCAACTTTTGCTATATGCTGGATTCAAACACATGATAGGTGAATTCTTAGAGGTATTATCCACTTTGGACCTTAGGGCTCACATTATTTTATCCTGAAAATGTACCTCTAGGTGGTGAGGGTGTTCTTATGCTATAATAACGACCAAGACTTTCGTCTCCTAATTGATATGGAACTTTGATACCAACAAGTTTAATTTAAATATATATATATATATATATTTTTTTTGCAAATTTGTGATAAAAGACTGGATTTGAAACAAAGTTTTTGTTTTATGAGAGATTAACAAGAAGATAAAAAGCAAAAAGAGAAAAATTAAATACTTTATCGAAATTTTTTATCTCTTTTAACTTTTAAACAGAATTACATACTAATGTTTATGCACATTTTAATAATAAATTAACTAAAATTACATATATATAACTAAAAATTACTTCCCGTTATATCTTCATAATTGAATAAATCATAGAATGTCATTATTAATAATATGTATTTTTGGAAATTTAATGTGAACCAAATTAAGAAAGAAAAAAAAAAAAAAGAACCAGTGAAGCCAATGGTGGGAGAATCTTGTATACAGAATCTAAAAATACCTTCCAAAATTTGCATATATCTAATACCTTCAAATCTTCCCATAAGTCTATATTATTTTTTCAGTAAAAAGAATTAAGATGATAGTTAAGGCAAGATTTACAATACGTAAAGTAGCTGCCTTCCCCTCACAGAACACGTGCCACATAACAATAACTGACACTCCACCATCCATCACTTTCTCTTCTCTTTTCTGAATTCACTTATTACTCTCCCCACCCCCACCACCTTCACTCCACGCGCCTCCTCTTCAACTCAACTAATCCAAAACATAAACTCACTGTTGGTCGACGTGTTCTTTAAAAACCTATACCCAGCACATAACCCCTCCCTTACCTAGAATCGTCAAAAATACACCCGCGGTAACGTTACTTAATCATTGCACTTCAGGGAAAGTCTTTTCTACAAGTACAACCACTTATCAAGTTAGTAATAAAATAAGTCCATACATTTACGTGGAGAATTTTCTAGAGTTTTATTATATTAATTTTTACAACTATTATATTTAATAAATTGAAATTAATTTGGTATTGTAATTATATCCTATAAAATGTCATATTAAAGGAAGTCGCCCAATAATAATAAATATAATTATACTTGAATTAATAATATAAATGTAAATTATGTGATTATATAGTTCATGATTAATACCTTTAAAATAAATCATGTTAATTGTATTCAAAATTTAATATAAAAAATTTCTACTTATTTCAAATCTTATAATAATATCCATTACATGTGTTACCAAATAAGAGTTATAATAAAGAAATTGGTAAAATAATATATTTATTTGAAAAATACCCTAATCTAAAGTTAAAAGATGGGAGTATTAATTATGACCAATAATACAATAATAACCACTAAAAAAAAAAAAAAAAAAAAGCTTGTCAACAAAGCATCTCTTCTCTCTCTAACACACACCCCAACACTCATCACATATAAGACCTCTCCATTTATTTCTTCACACAAAGATTTTCTCTCTCCCTTTCTCTCGTTTCTCTTTTCACTTTCTTCTTTACAAAGAAACACCACAGCCTACAACAACACACCAACAACACCAACACAAACACAACACACCATGACTGAAGAAGAGTGGGTAAACGTCGCCATGTCCGACGACTCCCTCGTCGTCGAGATGCTACTTCGTCTCCATCAAGCCGAACCACCGCCGACGGCTAGGAAGTCCGCGCCGCCGCTTCAGCTCGAGTGGAGCGTGCGTCAGCGTCGCTCCAAGCAGCTCCCGAGAAAAAAGGCTGATGCCACGCGTGCCAGCCCTACCACGCCGCTTTCTTGGAGTGGCGCCACCTCTGTCAGCGGTGGCGCTGCTGACGCCTTCGAGGAGTCCAGCAAACCGTCTAAGCCTATTGACAATACGAGATCTAAGGTGCGGTTTAGTTTCTGGTTTCGTTTTTGTGAGTTACCGGTGGGTTTGACTCGGTGACTCTGTTTCAGTTAGGTGTCAGTTTTTGGTGGCTTGATCTTAGACGAAAATGCCCCTTGAATATATGATAATTACCTCGTCGGACGGATGAGTTTGAGTTTCTTCGCATCTGTCAGATTTTCATTTCTTTCTGGAGTATATTTTTTTACTCTTTTCTAATGAGACGGTTTTACCCTTCGTGCATGGGTTGAACTCGTGAATCTCTAGTGGTATTTCCATCGTTTTATCCGCCAGATCGGCTTACTCTCCGGTTAAACGACTCGCCGTTTTGGAAGTTTCTTTTTAAAATTCCATTTTTTTATACTGATTTTGATGATTTTTTGAATTTTTATTATTTATTTTGTAGAGAAATTTGGTGACTTTCATTCAACGCATAGGGTCACGTAATTTTCCTTGCCACTTTCATTATTCTATGCCATCGTGTCATTTCCCATATTCGGAAAGACCATAACGCCCTTTCTTGAGGACGTTTTTGTCATTAGAAAACTTCTAACTGTCCCAGAATCTAAGCCATTGTCGGGGTCAATACTTCATTAGTCAGAGAAATCTCTTCAAAATGGCAAAACTACCCCGACCAAGAGCCAAAGGTGATGAACTTTCCGAGGCCATTTCCGTCAATTGGATGTTCCATAAACCTGTTTTATCGGTGGCGTGTTTTCATAGCAAATTAGGTGTGTGCGCATAGTTTGGTGTAATGTTGTTAGTGGTTGTGCAAAAACACTTTATATGTTTTGTTTGTTTTCACAAAAAGAATATATATCCAGTAAAGTCAGCCGTAGTTTCCATTTCCTGCGTGCGCAGTGATTTTTGGCCACGTGTCTGCATATTTCTTTCACCGTAACTTTGGTCAAATAAAAATGGTAATACTATAATACCATCCCAGTGGCGTTCTGGGTGACTATTGATTTTAAGGATAAAAAATAATTGCTTTTTGGGTGAAAAATTTAAAGAGATGGTAACGTTATCTCTTAAGAAAAGGGATATTTTTATGGGGTTCATGTTAAATCTAGAGTTTGGGCTTTTAAAGTGCTAACTCTCTACCTTTGAAAGTTTCAAATGTGAATACAGACGAAAGCGGCATATAGAAATCACGTGACACTTTATTGGGTTTGACGTTGCCACCCAAGCTCTATTGGTTTAGTCTGCAACCGCGTGGACTGGTTGTGGGAAAGTCATGTGTGTGGCCCTACCGTGCCACGTCATGTCATGTTGAAAAGTAAAATGTATAGTTAGATGATTTAAGGTAATATTTAATGGGTTAGGCTTGAAAATTGAATTGGTGTAATTATTGGATAAAATCTTGCCCTTTAAATGCACTGTATCACAGTGAGCTGTCAGCTAAAGTTTATGACTTTGGATGATCTAAACGACTTACAGTTGTGTTGTGTGTATGATCTAGTAGTTAATCGAATATTTGATTGAATATGATAACATTAATGTTTTGGAGACACTCCAAAAGGATATATTTTATTTTTGGGTGTTTAGTTTTATGGTATTATGGCTTTATTTAATGAGTTGCTGACAAAATGCTGTTTATTGAATGCTCCGTATAGGTTGTTGCTACCGGTGAAACCTCCACTCCAAAGAGGTCAAGAAAGAAAAAGGTAAATTGATATTTTACCGAGTTGTCTAAAGAGCTCATGAGATATTCATGATAAATGCTATGTCTATGATCTTATTTTATTAACATAAATAAAGACAAATGAATCTTAGGTTTCAGAGTCATTTATTTCTGATTGGTGAATTAGCCAGCTAGATCCATATTTAGGAATTTGAAATTTGGTTTATTTGCAGACCTTGGCTGAATTGAGAGAGGAGGAGAGTTTGCTGTTGAAGGAAGAGAGAAGTTTGAAAAATGTATGTTCGTCTTATTTATTCATATTCCTTTTATAGAAATGATAATCGAGATCCTGGATATTGATGTTTTGATTCATTAATTTGACAGCAATTGGCAACCTTACGTCTCACACTTGAGAAGCAAAGAACTAGAAATGAAAGCTTGAAGAGAATGAAGGTTAGATGAATTTATGTGTTTTATTGCAGTTTTACTTGCTAATAATGGTGGTTTGCTTTCCTGTATATGGACAGTAGTTGAGAACCTTATTCAAATACCAAAGGTCCATTTCAGATTTTTATTATTGGACAAAGTTTCTTCATAATATTTTTTGAAAGCGACCTTATCCAGTATCTACTAACTGCAACTCACTGAATTCTATAACAGTTTTAGAGTAACAATTACAGTCTTTGTAGTATTTAGTATTTTGTGATAATATGGTTGTAGTTAATGATGGGATTTGATGATAGGGATTAAAGGATTAAGTTTACTAGAGCTTAGTAGGATCTTATATGTCAACAAATGCTTTGAACTGTCTTTTTGGTTTTTTACCCTCTTTTTGATATGCATGTGGAATTCTCATGATAAATGAATCTTTTGCATGTTGTGTTTCTCTTTTAATAGTCTAAAGTTCGGTGCTATAAATGTATTTAATTTGCATACAATAGAAGCATAATGATCTCATAACATCTTTTTTGGTTGTTAATTGGCGTCAGAATGTCTCTGCATATTGTTGTCATGGGCAGAATTGATTACGGAGTAACTTCAAACTCCTACTGTTGTTCCACCAAGTTCTCCAACTCAGTTTTGCCTATGACTTCTGGACTTGTTTTTAATCTCGAATCACAGGGCTCGTATATTTGGCCTTAGCCAGTAGAACATTGTGATTGGTGTTAAAAGTTAATCCACTATTTCATGGTGAAGGGCAAAAGAGTGATTTTTTTTTTTTTTTTTTTAAGAGATATGGTCCTTCAGGAGTTCTGGAGTTGGGAGTCCTCAGGACATCTTAAAGTCAGTTTAGTACTTTGATTCCAGGGTCAACTGGGTGTGTAATAAAGAGTTAGGTCTTCTTGCAGTGTCTAAATATATAAATTATTTTTCATTTAACAAAGTTCAAAATCAAAATATAGCTTAACAAGTGACACGAAAGTACTCCATGTTTAACTAGTATAATGATAGTTACTGGAAAGTAATACATGATTCTGTTTGCCATGTGGTTGATGCCTTTGGATTGCGTAAGCATTCTTGCAGAATTATATGGCTTAGTTTAGATGGTTGATGTGCATTTGAATCTAACAGTTTCTCCATTTCTTGTTACAGCTTGATATTCTATCCCATCAGGCAACAGAAATAGTTAGAGCTTCTCATGCATCTGAGGAAGCTATTTTGAACCAGTGCGATCAAGTGAAATTAGCTCATGAACCTTCACAAATGCTGTTGCCAGCAAATGGTGCATGCAACGAATTGAATCCATCTCATCCCAATGGTTCTTTTGCCGCACTGGAAGATGAAAGTAAGGTGTCTTCCTTTGTGCTACCTGATTTAAATCTACCTTTTGATGATGATTCAAGCTCCGGGATTTTATATGGAATAAGCTGAGAAGAATCAGATGTAAATCGGTATTCTTTTTTCACTAATCAAGCAGAAGTAAGATCGTCTGTGGCACTTGTGCTTTAATAATACATAATGGTCAGTTCTAACTATGTCGACAAGATGAGTTATTGTAAGTACCAAACTGATTACCTTCACCGCTTAACCTAATCGCGGAAGTTTGTTTTTCAAAATACATGAAGGTATTGTGGGTAGTGTAGAAATCATTACTTAGATACAATCAGATTCTTTCTTCTCAGGTTTCTACATCTGTCCAAGATTCTTTGGGGCCAACACTCTTTTCCTTTTTTTTTTTTTTTTAACCCCTTTTTGTAGGAAATATTAACAGAGCTGTAATTATTATATCGATAATCACATGTTTTGCTACCTTGAATTAATGTTTCTGAATCTAAATTTGCTGTGCTTGCCCTTGCTGCTTCTGTTCTTGTCTTTTCTTTTGCTAATTCTCTTTGATATAAGCCAAAGTGTAAACTTATCATATGATATGAAAGGAATGGAATTTTCATTTGTACGAACTATGAAGAGAGGTTTACATGTAGTGGCAAAAGTGTAATTAATTTGTGTGAATTGTTTGTGAAGGGATGTTTATGAGGTTTGGTAATGTTGTTGAGTTGAAAGCAACAATGGTTTTATATTTCAACTGCTTTTGGCAGTTGCTTTTTCTTGAAAATCTAGTGTCTGACTGAGTCTGATAGGATACAAGAATTCAACAAATCAAACCTTCTGCCAAACTGGTCATTTCTGAAATGTAATTTGACAAAGAAATTGTTGAACCAGTACATAACATATTGACCAGCAAAATCACAGATGGCCCACATTCGTTATCATTACAAGAGCTTGTCTAAATAGCCACTTAAACTCAAACCAAAGCCAAGCAAATTCAAACAATTCAAATTGCAACATCATATATCCGCTTTTTTTTTTTTTTTTTTTTTTTTTTGGGGTTTCGAGAATATATAATTTGTCTGTTACTCACTCTAATTGTGGCCTTGTGGGTTATAAAGTGTCTCTATGATCAGAGTGTCTGAATCAGTTTACACGTACCTTAATTAATTTAAGAAAATCTTGAAATTATCGATCTGGTAAGAGTTCTAATAGTTACCCCTATTAAGGGTGATTAAAACTTAAACTGAGTGATCATGCAAACTTAGATTCTCTTTCGTTCTTTTATGGTAGTTAGCTTTTATAGGTCTTGATTAATACAAACTTGAAGTTTTAGGATTTCTTTAGTGATATTTTTGCTTTCTTTACATGGTAATGTTGGGGTTTAATCAACTGTTTTCTAATCTCAGCATTGAGTCGAGTTGTTTAATTATTGAAATTTGAAAGGGATTGATTAAGCATAGGATTCTTGACAGCACAGGCTTTGTATAAAGATGAGTGGAGCAGCTAAGAATGGGGCACTTTTTCTCCTTTCACCTAACTACTCATTTTGGAAGTTACAAATTTTATTAATACATAATTGATGTATGTTTGGTTCAAAATTCAAATAATACCAAATTACATACACTCTTTTGTCTGCTTTCTACAGAACCCATTGAAGTTTAACAATCCGGGTATGGTCAGACCCGTCCTAACCCGATTCGTGCTGCTATACCTAATATAATATGCCCTTTCCACTCCATCTAACTTCTAACATTCTAGAGAGTTCTTCTTAGTTAAAGCGTTAAGCATTTCTTTCTCTCTCTCATCACTTTCTTACTCTTTCTCGCCCATCTTCATATTTTCAGATCTGAGCTTGAAGATAGTTCAAGAAACGATATGAGTTAGGGTTATGATTGAAGTCAAATTACTAATGAAAACGCTTAAGCAAGTGGATCTAAAAACTGAAGTTCCAGATCTGAGTGGAGATGCATGTCCTGGAGGCTGTTTTTTCAGGAATTGCTGGTCAAGCGTCAAGGTATGGAAAATCGTAGCCGTAGATCGGAAGATTGTGGAGGCTTTAAAGGTCGGAGGGCCTTTGGGCGTACTGTTTAATGGAGTGCCAGAAAGCTTGGCGGATGCAACGTCCTGTGAGCAAACGGCAGGCTTCAGATTGATAAGTGATAGAGTAATTATCTGCCTTGAAGAAGGTATGGGTGGAGTTGGGAAGATTATTACACCATATATGAAAATTTCGCCGTTCCATTACGGGCCGTTGTGGTTTGGGTAATGCTGAATCGAGCTGCCTGTCTTACATATGCCACTGGACAATGGATTGGGGAAAGGATTGCGATGGGGATCATTGGATCATTGGCTGGTGTATAGATATTTGTGTACTTTGTTGAAGTGTAATAATATGTTTAAGGAATTTGGTTTGATTATTGGATTCGGGAAGAATTTTTGAATAAATTGTAGTTTGATTTCTTGAAGACAAAAATGTATATTACGAATTTAATAGATTATTAAATTTGTCTAGACTTGTGCCATTACATTATGTTCTTGTTTTTCTTCATTCATGTAAAATTTCCCAGGTTGTCCGGTGTTATATTTGTTGTGTCTCTTGTTCAATGTTAATTCTCAATTGTTTCTGAGAGCATACTTGACCTTATTGGTTTGGTCGCTGATGTATGAATGTTGACATGCTTGTGATTCTCAATTCTAGTACTATTAGCATCATTGAATTGGAGTCAAGAAACAATATATTACTACGGAAGTTCGGTTACCTTCGATTAATCTTTCTGAAATTCTAATTGGCCCTGCTTGCCCTTCACCATCACAAATGACCCATAACTTTTATCATAATAACAAGAGCTTTAATTTGATTTCTTTATGGAAAGCTGAAGTAACGTCAATGGAGATTTTGGAGCAGAGTTTTATATGGTTTCTATTGGGTGCCTTTTTTGTATATATTTTGATGTTTCTTTTTTCTCTTCTATGGTGTGTAATGTAACTTNGTGGGTTATAAAGTGTCTCTGTGACTAGAGTGTCTTAATCGGTTTGTACGTATCTCAATTAATCTATCAAAATCTTAGAACTATTAATTAAGTAAGAGTTTTAATAGTTACCCTTATTAAGGATGGTTAAAATTCAAACTCGAAAAATCATGCAAACTTAGATCCTTCTTTATTCTTTTATGATAGTTAGCTTTTATAGGTCTTGATTAATACAAATTTGAAGTTTTAGGATTTCTTTAGTGATATTTTTGCTTACTTTACATGGTAATGTTGGGGTATAATCATACTGTTTTCTAATCTTAGCATTGAGTTGAGTTGTTTAATTATTGAAATTTGAAAAGGGATTGATTAAGCATAGGATTCTTGACAGCACAGGCTTTGTATAAAGATGAGTGGAGCAGCTAAGAATCAGGCACTTTTTCTCCTTTCACCTAACAACTCATTTTGGACGTTACAAATTTTATTAATACCTAATTGATGTATGTTTGGTTCAAAATTCAAATAATACCAAATTACAGACACTCTTTTGTCTGCTTTCTACAGAACCCATTGAAGTTTGACAATCCGGGTATGGTCAGACCCGTCCTAACCCGATCCGTCCTCCTATACCTAATATAATAAGCCCTTTCCATCAAACATTCTAGAGAGTTTTCTTAGGTAAAGCTTTAAGCATTTCTTTCTCTCTCATCACTTTCTTACTCTTTCTCGCCCATCTTCATATTTTCAGATCTGAGCTTGAAGATAGTTCAAGAAAGATATGAGTTAGGGTTATGATTGAAGTCAAATTACTAATGAAAACGCTTAAGCAAGTGGATCTAAAAACTGAAGTTTCAGATCTGAGTGGAGATGCATGTCCTGGAGGCTGTTCTTTCAGGAATTGCAGGCCAAGCGTCAAGGTATGGAAAATCGTAGCCGTAGATCGGAAGATTGTGGAGGCTTTAAAGGTCGGAGGTCCTTTGGGGGTACTGTTTAATGGAGTGCCAGAAAGCTTGGCGGATGCAACGTTCTGTGAGAAAACGGCAGGCTTCAGATTGATAAGTGATAGAGTATTTATCTGCCTTGAAGTAGGTATGGGTGGAGTTGGGAAGATTATTACACCGTATAAGAAAATTTCCCCGTTCCATTACTGGCCGTTGTGGTTTGGGTAATGGTGAATCGGGCTGCCTGTCTTACATATGCCACTGGACAATGGATTGGGGAAAGGATTGCGATGGGGATCATTGGATCATTGGCTGGTGTATAGATATTTGTGTACTTTGTTGAAGTGTAATAATATGTTTAAAGAATTTGGTTAGATTATTAGATTCGGGAAGAATTTTTGAATAAATTGTAGTTTGATTTCTGGAAGACAAAAATGTGTATTACGAATTTAATAGATTATTAAACTTGTCTAGACTTGTGCCATTACATTATATTCTTGTTTTTCTTCATTCTCCCAGGTTGTCCGGTGTTATATTTGTTATGTCTCTTGTTCAATGTTAATTTTCAATTGTTTCTGAGAGCAAACTTTACCTTATTGGTTTAGTCGCTGATGTATGAATGTTGACATGCTTGTGATTCTCAATTCTAGTACTATTAGCATCATTGAATAGGAGTCAAGAAACAGTATATTAATATAGAATTTCGGTTACCTTCAATTAATCTTTCTGAAAATGACCCATAACTTTTATCATAATAACAAGAGCTTTAATTTGATTTCTTTATGGAAAGCTGAAGTAACATAAATAAAACACCCGTTAGGATATGTGAGTTGGTGTAAAGCTAAGGTAACGTCAATGGAGATTTTGGAGCAGAGTTTTATATGGTTTCTATTGGGTGCCTTTTTTGTATATGTTTTGATGTTTCTTTTTTCTCTTCTATGGTGTGTAATGTAACTTGGTGTAAAACCCTCTTTGTATTATCAGTTTTTAATTATGTTGTTTACCAGTTGTCTCATTTTAGTTGATGAAATATGAGGGTTCAAATTCATTTTGGCTCTGGAATTTGCTTTACTGATATATGTGCTTGCCAGTTCTTTCCTATTTGTATCCTGGTGATGAGATTCCAAGCTTAGTTGTCATTTGACGTTATCTGATTCTGAAAATTACAGACCGATAATTTTATTGGTAGAAACAGAAGAATGAACTAGTTTTATTTTATCTATTTTCTTTTCACTGAATTTACCAAGAATTGTATGTCAAAAGAAAACAAATTTCATTTTGGAGAAGGTTTCAAGAGTCGGAGAACCAACGGTGGTGATGGTTGTCTGTTGTTATCTTAATATTCTTAAACTTCACTAGACTACTGCCATTACACTATATGCTTGGTTTTCTTCATTTATAACAACAAATTCATGTAAAATTCCCTATGTTCTCCACTGCTGTATTTGTGTTTCTTGTTCGGTGCTTGTTTTAACATTGAATAAGAGTCAAGATACTATATAACATTTAATAATGAGTGTATGATATGGATGAACCAATAAACGACATGTCATGATGTCATCAACCACAGATCATAAATTTCAAACTGCTGTTAAGAAAAACAGCTATAGCAGGATCCATGGGCAAAAGTTCCAACCCATCAGATATATATATATATATATATATATATATATATACACGTTCATGGAGTAAACGACATGTTACCACCCAAGGTTTGACAAATCTGCAAGTTCCCACCCATGGTTTCATAAATTTTAGATTCCCACCTTTA